TGTGCAGAGGAAAAGCGCTGCTTTAACCAGCTTAATTTAAATGAAAGAAACACAGAAAGTTTCCTTACCTGGTCAGATCTTTGTTTAAACTTTCCCTATATGTTTAGTAGTGCACATTTAACACACCACTGTCCTGGATTTGCTTGTTTTGGTCTCTGCTGCCTGATGGTGTACTTCCAGCCCCAAAGGAGGGGTGTGGTTAGTTCGTAACTCCGTGGTTCCACTGTAACTCAGTTCCTGGAGGGTCGGTCCATCAATGGCTATTAGCCAGGATGGGCAGGGATGCAGCCCCCTGCTCCAGGTACTCCTAAACCTCTGACTGCCAGGAGCTGGGACTGAACAACAGGGGATGGACACTCGATAATTGCCCTGCTCTGTTCATTCCCTCTGGGGCACCTGGCACTGTCCACTGTCGACAGACAGGAGACTGGTCTAGATGGACCTTTAGTCTGACCCAGTCGGGCCGTTCCTATGTTCTTATGCCTCAGGACTACGAGTGCCTGTGGGTGAAGGGCGGGGGTGCTGGGCATTGGGGGATGGAGAGGGGGTGATTGGGTGCTATGGGGCGGGGGATGTCGGGGGACGGGGCTGTGGTGCGGGTGCTGAGGGGCCGGGGGTGCTGGTGGCAGGGGATGTTGGGGGGCAGGGGCTGTGGTTGGGGGGCAGGGGCTGTGGTGCGAGTGCTGGGGGCGGGGGTTGTGTTTGGGGGGCAGGGCATGCTGGGGGCAGGGGCTGTGGTTGGGGAGCAGGGGCTGTGGTGCGGGTGCTGTGGGGCAGGGGATGTTGGGGAGCAGGGGATGCTGGGGGTCCCTGGCTCAGTCTCTCCCCACTCAGGCGCAGGAGGATTCGGAGCAGCTGCGCAGCATTGTCCTGCCCATGGAGGAGGAGATCGCCCAGCTCAAGAGCAAACTCTCCCGGGCCGAGGGGCTGATCCAGGGGCTGCGGGGGCCTGAGGTGAGACCCGGAGGGGGGGAACCGTGTGGGGGGAGTGGGGTAGTGGGTGCTGGGGGGCGGAGAGCCAGGCCATGCAGGAATGTGTTTGGGGGGAGGGAAGGGGTGCCCAATGTGGATGGACTTGGGCCGTTCTGACTGTGTGGGGGGGGCTCGCTCTGCCCTGTGACTCCTTCCCCCCCAGGGCTCACTCTGCTGCTCATCGGAGTCCCTGCTGTCTGATGCGGAGGATCCCAGCCGGGTGCCCCCTGCCCACCCTGGGGGAGAGGGGGATGAAGGCTCTGGACCGGAGGGTGAAGAGGAGCTGGGAGGTGGCATGGCCTTCGCCCGCGGCTGCGACAGCATCTCCATTGTCTCCATCGCCAGCTCCAGCGCTGGCTCCCCCCGGCCCCGGCGCCGGCCCAACCAAGAGCATGAGGACACGGCCTCCCTGCTGTCCACCGGCACCCTGGTGCCTGAGAGCATCTACCTGCCCCCCCCCTGGCTTCCAGCTGGTGCCTGATGGGGAGTGGACGCACCTGCAGCAGGAGGTGAGACTGGAGGGGGAAGCTGTGGGCAGGGTGGGGGGCCGGGAGGTGGGAGTGGGCTGGGGGGGTGACAGATGTGTGGGGAACAGGGAGGAGGGCAGCTGGGGATGTGGGGAGCGGAGATCCTGGGAGGGATGGGAGGATGCTGTGCAGGGTTGCTAGAGCTGGGGTGCGGGGGATGTGGCTGGGACAGGGTGACCTGTGACCTCGGCCCCTCCCAGGCCAGGCGGCACCAGGAGTCCTGGCAGCAGCTGAGCGAGCAGCTGGAGGCGGTGATGCAGGAGAAGCTGCGACTGCAGGAGGCGTTAACTCGGAGCAGCGAGGATTGTGCCAAGCAGGTACCATGGGCAGCTCCCCCTCCCCCAGCGCTGCCGGTGCCCCGCAGCCCCCTGCTAGCCCGGCCTGGGCTTCCCCTGCTGCCCCTCCAGCGCTGCCGGTGCCCCGCAGCCCCCTGCTAGCCCAGCCTGGGCTCTCCCCGCTGCCCCTCCAGCGCTGCCGGTGCCCCGCAGCCTCCTGCTAGCCCAGCCTGGGCTCCCCCTGCTGCCCCTCCAGCTCTGCCGGTGCCCCGCAGCCCCCTGCTAGCCCGGCCTGGGCTCTCCCCGCTGCCCCTCCAGCGCTGCCGGTGCCCCGCAGCCCCCTGCTAGCCCGGCCCTGGGCTCCTCCTCCCCCAGCGCTGCTGGTGCCCCACAGCCCCCTGCTAGCCCGGCCCTGGGCTCCCCCTCCTCCAGCTCTGCTGGTGCCCCGCAGCCCTTGCTAGCCCAGCCCTGGGCTTCCCCTGCTGCCCCTCCAGCTCTGCTGGTGCCCCGCAGCCCCCTGCTAGCCCGGCCCTGGGCTTCCCCTGCTGCCCCTCCAGCTCTGCCGGTGCCCCGCAGCCCCCTGCTAGCCCAGCCTGGGCTCTCCCCGCTGCCCCTCCAGCTCTGCCGGTGCCCCGCAGCCCCCTGCTAGCCCGGCCCTGGGCTTCCCCTCCTCCAGCTCTGCCGGTGCCCCGCAGCCCTTGCTAGCCCAGCCTGGGCTCTCCCCGCTGCCCCTCCAGCTCTGCCGGTGCCCCGCAGCCTCCTGCTAGCCCGGCCCTGGGCTCCCCCTCCTCCAGCTCTGCCGGTGCCCCGCAGCCCTTGCTAGCCCAGCCTGGGCTCTCCCCGCTGCCCCTCCAGCTCTGCCGGTGCCCCGCAGCCTCCTGCTAGCCCGGCGCTGGGCTCCCCCTCCTCCAGCTCTGCTGGTGCCCCGCAGCCCTTGCTAGCCCAGCCTGGGCTCTCCCCGCTGCCCCTCCAGCTCTGCCGGTGCCCCGCAGCCTCCTGCTAGCCCGGCGCTGGGCTCCCCCTTCTGCCCCCAGTGCTGCCGGGGCCCCGCAGCCCCCTGCTAGCCCGGCCCTGGGCTCCCCCTCCTCCAGCTCTGCTGGTGCCCCGCAGCCCTTGCTAGCCCGGCCCTGGGCTCCCCCTTCTGCCCCCAGCACTGCCGGTGCCCCGCAGCCCCCTGCTAGCCCGGCCCTGGGCTTCCCCTGCTGCCCACATCTCTGCCGGTGCCCCGCAGCCCCCTGCTAGCCTGGCCCTGGGCTCCCCCCCTCTGTCAGTGCCCCTTATTTCCAACCCGCAGCCCCCTGCTAGCCCAGCCCTTCCCCCAGCTCTGCCAGTGCCCTGAGGGCTGACATGCAGCCCCTCTCCCTGTGGCCAGGTTGCTTCGTGCTGATGGCTGAGTCTCTCCCAGGTGCTGGTGCTGCTGGATCAGATCCAGAACTCGGAGCAGCTGCTGCAGAACCTACAGGCGACCGTGTCCCAGACCCAGCACCGGACCCAGGAGCAGATTGTGAGCAGGGGTGTGCCCGGCAGGGTGGGGAAGACTAGGTGCAGAGGGTGGGTGGGGGGAATGGAGGGTGGGTGGCTGGGGGGCTGGGATCCATGGTGGGGGTCACTGGTGAGGGGGATCCAATCCCTCTGCTCACCCCACCCCCTCCTCCAGGCTGACCTGGCATCATCTCACAAGCGACTCAGCTACGAGGTGCAGCGGCTGAACGAGGAGAACGAGGGGCTGCGGGGCTCCCGGCCCACCCTGACCCCTGCTGAGGAGCCACCACTGCCGAGCTCCGTGCAGGTACCGCAGGGGCTGAGACCAGACATCCAGGGGGTTGGGGGTCTGTAGGTCATCTCCCTGACCCTCCCCGGGGGTGTGTGTGGGGCGGGGCAGGGGGTGCACTCCCATGCAAACCTCCAGTCCCTACCAGGACCTGTAGGCGTTGGTGGAGGGTGGGGATATCGAGGTGTGGGTCTCACCCCCAGTCCCCCAGGTGCTGTAGGTGCAGGGTGGGGATATTGCGGTGTGGGTCTCACTCCCAGCCAGCCCCCCAGGAGCTGTAGGTGCAGGGGGGGATGTCGAGGTATGGATCTCACCCCCCCTCCCCCCTGGAGCTGTAGGTGCTGGCATTGGGGGTACCGACGTACGGCTCTCCCCCATCGCCCCCAGGAGCTGTAGGTGCAGGGGGGGATTTCGAGGTATGGATCTCACCCCCAGCCAGCCCCCCAGGAGCTGTAGGGGCAGGGGGGGATATCGAGGTATGGATCTCACCCCCCCTCCCCCCGGAGCTGTAGGTGCTGGCATTGGGGGTACCGACGTACGGCTCTCCCCCATCGCCCCCAGGAGCTGTAGGTGCTGGCTTTGGGGTACAGCTCTCCCCCCCCATCTCTCCCCAGGAACTGCAGGCACTGGTGCGCCGGCTGCAGGAGGAGGCTGGGACCCTGCGCCGAGCTAGTGAGCACCATAGCGAGCGGCTGCGCATTGAGATTGTCACGCTGCGTGAGCGACTGGACGAGGAGGAGGCCGCCCGGGCCCGGCTGCAGGGGGTTCTGGAGGCCCAGCTGGGGGCCCAGCGCGAGGAGAGCCGTAAGGGGGTGGCTGGGGGCATGGGGACAATGGTGGGGGAGGGGAAAGGGGTCGGGCTGGGGGTGTCATGGCAGGTAAAGCACCCCCCCTCGCTGTAACACTGTCTCTCTTCTCCCCCCCGGCCCCCTCCCGCGGCTCCATCGCTCCCACCTGCAGAGGTCATGGAGGGTAAGTGGGGACTAGGGGAGGGGGGTGGGTGTGTCGGTCGCTCACCCCCACCCCTCATGGTGACCCCCTGCCCCATCTGTGTCTCCCCAGCCTCCCTGTGCAGCCTCCGGTCAGAGATGGAGAGGCTACAGCAGCAGCTGGGGCAGGTGAGGGGGCTGGTGATATGGGGGGAGGGTCCTTGGGAATGGGGAGGGGCCTGTTCTGTGCCCCCTAGAGGTGTGTGTCTGGCGGGGAGGTCTATGCTGAACTCTTCCCCCACAAGCAGGACATGCCGTGGGGGGCGGGACACTGATTTCCCCCCCCCAACCGCTGCCCAGGCACAGCACTGGGGGCAGAGGGGATGGTGGGGTCACGCTGGTTTCCCCTTCCCCCCTGAAGGCAGAGCAGCGGGCACAGGGGCTGGAGCAGGACATGCAGCGGCTTCAGGGGGACCTGACCCAGCGTGACCGGCAGGGCCAGGCCTGGGAACAGGAAAAGGTGAGTGAGCCGAGCCAGCCCCTCCCCTGCACAGCACCCCTCACCCCCACTGGGGCAGGCTGCCTGTTCAGACACCCTTGGTGCCCCCACACGGGTCTTTGGGGGTTTGGGGCACTGGCTGTTAGGCAGTGCCGTGGGGGGCGCCCCTCATCTGTCCTGGACTCACTACGCCATACGTACCTACCAGGACAGGTCTGGGCATGTTGCCTGGGAGCCAGCTTATCCTCTGGCTCTGCGCCCGTTCAGTGAGAGCCCCAGCGGTTGGCTCCCACGTGTCCCCCTCCCGGGCAGGCCTGGGACCTTCCTGTTCAGTAGCCCCTGCCCTGCCTTCCAGCCCCCCTGCTCCGCAGCGCTTCCCCAGGCCAGGAGCTAGCTGGTCCTGGTTCACAACCAGCACCACATCTAGCCGCCTGCGACTGCCCTGCCCCAATGGGCCAGGAACCCCGCTTACAGCAGGTTGGCTGCCGGTGTGAGATCGAAGGGGCATCGAATGACACCTTAATCCCGCTGCCAGTGCACCTGGGGGGATGAATCCTTCCGCCCCCAGGACAAAGGGGCGTGTGTGTAAACTGAGCCCCACACCTGGTTCAGAAAAGTGTTACATTTCCCACGTTGCTCCTTCCACCCTACACCTCCCCTGAGTGCTCTGCAACCACCCCAGTGGGGCATGTAAGGCAGGGACCAACCAGCTGTAGCTGGTCCCAAGGCCCTCATGCTCTCTCTTTCCCAGGCTGGGCTGGAGTGGGGGTGCAGAGGAGTCAGGGGAGGGGGCTGGTCCCAGGACTGTGACAGTCTCTCCCCGAGGCCGGGATGTGTGCGGGGGGTGTTGCAGAGGAATGGGGAGAGGTGGGAGGGCTGGTCCCTGAGCTGTGACAGTCTCTCCCCGAGGCCAGGATGTGTGCGGGGGGTGTTGCAGAGGAATGGGGAGAGGTGGGAGGGCTGGTCCCCGAGCTGTGACAGTCTCTCCCCGAGGCCAGGATGTGTGCGGGGGGTGTTGCAGAGGAATGGGGAGAGGTGGGAGGGCTGGTCCCAGGACTGTGACAGTCTCTCCCCGAGGCCGGGATGTGTGCGGGGGGTGTTGCAGAGGAATGGGGAGAGGTGGGAGGGCTGGTCCCCGAGCTGTGACAGTCTCTCCCCGAGGCCAGGATGTGTGCGGGGGGTGTTGCAGAGGAATGGGGAGAGGTGGGAGGGCTGGTCCCCGAGCTGTGACAGTCTCTCCCCGAGGCCAGGATGTGTGCGGGGGGTGTTGCAGAGGAATGGGGAGAGGTGGGAGGGCTGGTCCCAGGACTGTGACAGTCTCTCCCCGAGGCCGGGATGTGTGCGGGGGGTGTTGCAGAGGAATGGGGAGAGGTGGGAGGGGGCTGGTCCCAGGACTGTGACAGTCTCTCCCCGAGGCCGGGATGTGTTCGGGGGGTGTTGCAGAGGAATGGGGAGAGGTGGGAGGGCTGGTCCCCGAGCTGTGACAGTCTCTCCCCGAGGCCGGGATGTGTGCGGGGGGTGTTGCAGAGGTATGGGGAGAGGTGGGAGGGCTGGTCCCCGAGCTGTGACAGTCTCTCCCCCAGGCCAGGCTGGAGGCAGCACTGTCCGAGCAGCGGGGGAAGCTGCAGCGGTTGCAGGCGGAGCTGGACACCAGTGAGCAGGTGCAGAGAGACTTTGTCCGCCTCTCGCAGACTCTGCAGGTACCGGCTGGGGGGTGTCTTGGAGCAGGTGCTGTCTGTCATGGGGGAGTTGTGCCCTGTCGGGGGTGAAGGGGGGTGTCTCCGCGGCCCAGGATCTCGAGCTGTCTCTCTCACTCTCCTCTCATCCCTCAGGTGCAGCTGGAACGGATCCGCCAGGCCCCCTCGCTGGAGCAGGTGCGCAGCATTGTGGACGGGACACGGCTGAAGGATGTAACGGAGCTCAAGGAGCCCTGAGACGCTGGGACAGCAAGAGGCCCTCCCCTGGGTGGGGGGGCATGGATGCCACCCACCCTTCCCCTGGGCAGGCACAGACTCCAACCCCTTCCCTTCCCCACTAGGGGGGCCTTGGACACTGCCCATGCCCCAGGCCAGGCTCTGAGTGGCCATCCTCTACTAACCCCCCTCCCCAACCACCTGTGGGGGATTAGGGCCATCAGCCTGGGGAGACGGGTCCCAGCCTCTCTCTGCCCCCCTCCCCGCCCCAGCTCAGGGATGGTGCCCCCCACCTGCACACTAACCAAAAATGCAGCTGCTGTTCACCCCCCACAAGAGCAAGGCCTATGGGGCAGGGAGTCATGGTGTGGCCCCCAGCTCTGGCTCACACCACAGGAGACAGCATGTTACTGACAGTTACTAACACTGAGGACTGGGGCTGGGGGAGGCCAGCTCCAGCTCAGTGTCCATCCTCCATTTCCCCCCTTCCCCCAGCTTCCTCCTCCCACAATGGGTGGGAAGGGGCAGGGCCAAGCAGGGCCCGTTGGCTCCCCTGCCACTAACAATCCACCAGCCTGCCTTTGTGTGGAGGGCCCACAGGGGGCAGGGTTAATAAAGGTGACTTTGTGACCATACTCTCTGAGCGACCTGCATCCATCTGTCTGTTTTAACGTTAAAGTGGTCCACTTTCTCCAAGTCAGTTGCCCGGGGCAATGGGAGGCCTCAGTGGGACAATGGCATGAGACTGACCGAGGCAGCGCAGGCGAAGATGTAGGGCCTGGAACCCCATGCCCCCACCTGCGCATTTGCCAGCCTAACCTGTGCTAAAATCACTAGTCCCACCCTGTAAAATGACGCTGGTTCTTTTTCTTTGCCTCAGCTTTTCTCCCCTGCTGCTACAGCTGGAACCAGGTACTGGGTATTAAATGAGAGCTGAGCGCCTCCTGCAGCCAGGGCTTCAAGAAACACACTAGTGTCCTGAGCAGGGGAAGCTGGGGCTGGCCAGTGCCCGCTCAGTGCTGCTCCACTTCATGTTGTGTCTGGTTCCTACTGCCTGGACAAGCCAGCTCCATGAGTGTCCCAGCTCCCTGCCTGGGGAGCTCAGCTGGGGACAGCCCCAGTCTCAATCTCGCTGGTTGTAGTGGCCCTGCTCCCCCCTAGGGGCTAGTGGGGGTGGTGGGGAGGGGGCTGCACCAGGTGACGCCCCTCGCCCTCCACCCCTACCTCTATCCAGTGCAGCCTGGATGTGGGGAAGCTCCAATTCTGGACAAACTGGAGAAATGGTCTGAAGTAAATAGGATGAAATTCAATAAGGACAAATGCAAAGTTCTCCATTTAGGAAGGACCAATCAGGTGCACACATACAGAATGGGAAATGACGGCCTAGAAAGGAGGCCTGGGGAAAGGGAAGGGGGGGTCAGAGTGCACGACAAGCGGCCACCCCTCTGGTCTGTGATGGGATATTAGATGGGGTGGGACCTGAGTTACCCAGGAAAGAATTTTCTGTAGTATCTGGCTGGTGAATCTTGCCCATGTGCTCAGGGTTCAGCTGACTGACATATTTGGGGTCGGGAAGGAATTTTCCCACAGGGCAGATTGGAAGAGGCCCTGGAGGTTTTTCGCCTTCCTCTGCAGCATGGGGCACGGGTCACTTGCTGGAGGATTCTCTGCTCCTTGAAGTCTTTAAACCGCGATTTGAGGACGTCAGTGGCTCAGACGTAGGAGAGGGGTTTTTCGCAGGCGTGGGTGGGTGAGATTCGGTGGTCTGCGTTGTGCCGGAGGCCGGACTGGATGATCAGAACGGTCCCTTGTGACCGTAGCGTCTGTGACTATTAGCCGGCGGGCGCCCTGGAGCCAGCCCGGGGCAGAGGGAGGGAGGCGCGAACCCGCCCCAGGGGCAGAGCGAAACGCGGTGGGTTCAGGCCCAGGGTCTGGCAGCACCTGGGACGCCCCCAGTTGAGCAGCCCCCACAGTCCTCCAGGGCCATAGAGTCTAACCCGGGGGCAGGGGTAGAGTTGGTCCCTTTGAATCATCCTCCACTCTGGAGGGGCAGAGTCCTCCTTGGCCATAGAGTCCCCGCAGGGAGATAGAGCGGCTCTGCCCGAGCCTCGCTGGGGGGTCACGGCCCCTGGCAATCGTCGAGTCTCCAATGGCTAGCCAGGCTCCCACCGACAGTCAGTGGGCAGCGCGCCTCCGCGAGCGCCATAGAGTCCCCGCTCCCGTGCCGACGCGGGGACGCCTGGCGGAGGATAGAGCGGCTCCAGTGGCGCCATAGAGTCTCCCTCAGCCGGGGCTAGAGAAGCGCCTCCTGCGCAATTCTGTCTCCCCCTGGCGGTAGAGAGCCCGGCTCCCGGCACAGCATAGAGTTCTTACGAGGCGCTAGAGCGGCCGCGCCACATTTCCGGTGTGCTCGCGACGCTTTGCCGGAAGCGGCTGTCTCCCGGTTCATTCATTGGCTCTGGCGCCCGCCGCATTTGAGTCACTTCCGGTCCTGTAGAAAGATGGCGGCGCACGCGATGTTTGCCCGCGGGGGATGGAGCAGGGCCGCCGGTCAGTGACTGGGGAGTACGAAGGACGTGGGGTCAGGTCGGGGGTCTCTGCCGGGTGGGGGCAGGTTAGGGGGCAGGAAGGACGTGGGCGGGAGGTTGGGGGTCTCTGGGGGGAGGTTACAGGAGGTGGGGGGCAGGAAGGACGTGAGGGCAGGTTAGGGGGCAGGAAGGACGTGGGCGGGAGGTTGGGGGTTTCTAAGGGGAGATTATAGCAGGAAGGATGTGGGGGCAGGTCGGGGGGGGGTCTCTGGTGGGTGGGGGCAGGTTAGGGCGCAGGAAGGATGCGGACGGCAGGTTGGGGGTCTCTAAGGGGAGGTTACAGGAGGTGGGGGGCAGGAAGGACATGGGGGCAGGTTGGGGGCAGGAAGGACGTGAGCGGGAGGTTGGGGGTCTCTAAGGAGAGGTTACAGGAGGTGGGGGGCAGGAAGGATGGGGGGGCAGGTTAGGGGGCAGGAAGGACGTGGGTGGGAGGTTGGGGGTCTCTAAGGGAAGGTTACAGGAGGTGGGGGGCAGGAAGGATGTGGGGGCAGGTCGGGGGGTCTCTGGGGGGTGGGGCCGGGTTAGGGAGCAGGAAGGATGTGGGTGGGAGGTCGAGGGTCTCTGGGGGGTGGGGGCAGGAAGGACGTGGGCGGGAGGATGGGGGTCTCTAAGGGGAGGTTACAGGAGGTGGAGGGCAGGAAGGACATGGGGGCAGGTCGGGGGGGTCTCTGGTGGGTGGGGGCAGGTTACGGCGCAGGAAGGATGTGGGTGGGAGCTGGGGGGTCTCTAAGGAGAGGTTACAGGAGGTGGAGGGCAGGAAGGATGTGGGGGGCAGGTCGAGGGTCTCTGGGGGGTGGGGGCAGGAAGGACGTGGGCGGGAGGTTGAGGGTCTGTAAGGGGAGGTTACAGGAGGTGGGAGGCAGGAAGGACATGGGGGCAGGTTAGGGGGCAGGAAGGACGTGGGTGGGAGGTTGGGGGTCTCTAAGGGGAGGTTACAGGAGGTGGGGGGCAGGAAGGACATGGGGGCAGGTCGGGGGTCTCTGGGGGGGTGGGGCCGGGTTAGGGAGCAGGAAGGATGTGGGTGGGAGGTCGAGGGTCTCTGGGGGGAGGTTACAGGAGGTGGAGGGCAGGAAGGACGTGGGGGGCAGGTTGAGGGTCTCTGGGGGGTGGGGGCAGGAAGGACGTGGGCGGGAGGTTGAGGGTCTCTAAGGGGAGGTTACAGGAGGTGGGGGGGCAGGAAGGATGTGGGGGCAGGTCGGGGGTCTCTGGGGGGTGGGGCCGGGTTAGGGGGCAGGAAGGACGTGGGTGGGAGGTTGGGGGTCTCTAAGGGAAGGTTACAGGAGGTGGGGGGGCAGGAAGGATGTGGGGGCAGGTCGGGGGGTCTCTGGGGGGTGGGGCCGGGTTAGGGAGCAGGAAGGATGTGGGTGGGAGGTCGAGGGTCTCTGGGGGGTGGGGGCAGGAAGGACGTGGGCGGGAGGATGGGGGTCTCTAAGGGGAGGTTACAGGAGGTGGAGGGCAGGAAGGACATGGGGGCAGGTCGGGGGGGTCTCTGGTGGGTGGGGGCAGGTTACGGCGCAGGAAGGATGTGGGTGGGAGCTGGGGGGTCTCTAAGGAGAGGTTACAGGAGGTGGAGGGCAGGAAGGATGTGGGGGGCAGGTCGAGGGTCTCTGGGGGTGGGGGGGCAGGAAGGACGTGGGCGGGAGGTTGAGGGTCTGTAAGGGGAGGTTACAGGAGGTGGGAGGCAGGAAGGACATGGGGGCAGGTTAGGGGGCAGGAAGGACGTGGGTGGGAGGTTGGGGGTCTCTAAGGGGAGGTTACAGGAGGTGGGGGGGCAGGAAGGATGTGGGGGCAGGTCGGGGGTCTCTGGGGGGTGGGGCCGGGTTAGGGAGCAGGAAGGATGTGGGTGGGATGTCGAGGGTCTCTGGGGGGAGGTTACAGGAGGTGGAGGGCAGGAAGGATGTGGGGGGCAGGTCGAGGGTCTCTGGGGGGTGGGGGCAGGAAGGACGTGGGCGGGAGGTTGAGGGTCTCTAAGGGGAGGTTACAGGAGGTGGGAGGCAGGAAGGACATGGGGGCAGGTTAGGGGGCAGGAAGGACGTGGGTGGGAGGTTGGGGGTCTCTAAAGGAAGGTTACAGGAGGTGGGGGGCAGGAAGGACGTGGGGGCAGGTTAGGGGGCAGGAAGGACGTGGGTGGGAGGTTGGGGGTCTCTAAGGGGAGATTACAGGAGGTGGGGGCAGGAAGGACGTGGGGGCAGGTCGGGGGGTCTCTGGCGGGTGGGGGCAAGATAGGGGGCAGGAAGGACGTGGGCGGGAGGTTGGGGGTTTCTAAGGGGAGGTTACAGGAGGTGGGGGGCAGGAAGGACGTGGGGGCAGGTCGGGGGTCTCTGGGGGGTGGGGGCAGGAAGGACGTGGGCGAGAGGTTAGGGGTCTCTGAGGGGGAGGTTACAGGAGGTAGGGAGCAGGAAGGATATGGGGGGAGGTCGGGGGTCTCTGGGGATGCGGGGAGGTCTGGTTTTCACAGTGTTTAGGGGTGGAAAGGCCAGTATGATGATTTAGTCTGACTCCCGGACACAGGCCAGGGATCTGCCTCACAATAATCTTAGAGCTGATCTGTTTGAATCCACCAGAACCCTTGATAAATTGTCCTAGTCATTAATTACCATTGGGTAATTGGATGATCTGGGAAGGGCAGGGGATTTTTGCAGGGAGAAAGGATCCTGAGAGGGGAGAGAAGGATCTGGGGGTGGAATGTAGGGGCAGGTTATGTGGTGGATGGAGATTATGGGGAGAAGCAGGGGTCAAGGGAGAGGTTGGTGGGGGCAGGGAGGCTCTGGGGGCCGGAGGTGAGTTCGGGAGAGCAGGTGGCAGTGGTGGGGTGTTTGAGGGCTCAATCATGGTGGAAGGGGGGCTAAGCAGGGAGCTGGGATCCCGAGAGAAAAGGGATGACTCTGGATCAGGCCAGAAGGGATTGTGTGGAGAGCAGATGGTGCAGCACGCAGCTTACGCTGTGGAGGGGAGTTACGGGGTTATGGGGAGGAGGAGGGATCTGGGTTTGGGGGTTGGTGGTGAGAGGAGGGAGAAGGGATTTGGAGGGTGGCTGGAGTCAGGTTGTGGGACAAAAGAGGGTTATGGGGTGATGTGGGGGGAGGAATTTTGGTGGGGGCAGGGTGGTGGTGGCAGGGGAGCAGGGATTCTGAAAGGAGAGGGATGGGGTCTGGGTTGGTGGGGGTGGGGAGCAGAGTAGTCTGGGGGGCGTTGGAGGAAGTGGTGGGGGTGGGAAGGGGGTTACTGGGGAGAGAGGAGAACAAAGTGGTCAGGGTTAAGGGGCGATGACACCTATTGAAGGAAATTCTGAGGAGCATGGCATGGAGTCTGAAAGAGAGGGGGCAAGGCTTTGCAGGATGGAGTGCAGTAGGGTGATGAGGGCTTTGGCGGGAGAGTGACTGAGTTTGGGTAGAAACTACTGGGGGCTGCAGCTCTGGGGACGGGCTGCCTCCGCGCAGTCAGCAGGAGACACTGATTGAGATTCTCCACCAGGACTAGGTGGGAAGTCAGACTGGATGGTCACAGAATGGGTGCTTCTGGCCTGGACAGCCAAGAGTCTGAATCCATCTGGTCTGCCTCTTGCCCCATTCACCGAGATCCATCATAACCCAGGCCCTGCCTTCACCCCAGCACTGCAAGCCCTGAGTGTTTGGACCAGCAGTGCCAGCGACCACTGATCTAAAAGGGTGCCCCCTGCTCCACCCCATGGAAGGGCGCAGTCCCTGCCCCCACTGGAGCTGAGGCCAGTCAGCCACAAGTACCACCAGACACTGGGCTGGAAGGGACCTCGAGAGGTCGTCTAGTCCAGCACCAGCACCGAGGCAGGGCCAAGTAACCCTAGTCCAGCCCCAGCTGGGGTTTGTCCAGTCTGTTCTCAAAACCCTCCAGAGACAGGGACCCCACAGCATTCCTAGATAACCTGTTCCAGAGCTGAACTAGCTTCCTAGTTTGAAAGTTTTTCCTACTATCTTACTTAAATCTCCTTTGCCAAGATTGAGCCTGTTACTTCTTGTCCTGCCTTCATAGAATCATAGAATATCAGGGTTGGAAGGGACCTCAGGAGGTCATCTAGTCCAACCCCCTGCTCAAAAGCAGGACCAATCCCCAATTAAATCATCCCAGCCAGGGCTTTGTCAAGCCTGACCTTAAAAACTTCTAAGGAAGGAGATTCCACCACCTCCCTAGGCAACGCATTCCAGTGTTTCACCACCCTCCTAGTGAAAAAGTTTTTCCTAATATCCAACCTAAACCTCCCCCACTGCAACTTGAGACCATTACTCCTTGTCCTGTCCTCTTCTACCACTGAGAATAGTCTAGATCCATCCTCTCTGGAACCACCTCTAAGGTAGTTGAAAGCAGCTATCAAATCCCACCTCATTCTTCTCTTCCGCAGACTAAACAATCCCAGTTCCCTCAGCCTCTCCTCATAAGTCATGTGTTCCAGACCCCTAATCATTTTTGTTGCCCTTCGCTGGACTCTTTCCAATTTTTCCACATCCTTCTTGTAGTGTGGGACCCAAAACTGGACACAGTACTCCAGATGAGGCCTCACCAATGTCGAATAGAGGGGGACGATCACGTCCCTCGATCTGCTCGCTATGCCCCTACTTATACATCCCAAAATGCCATTGGCCTTCTTGGCAACAAGGGCACACTGCTGACTCATATCCAGCTTCTCGTCCACTGTCACCCCTAGGTCCTTTTCCGCAGAACTGCTGCCTAGCCATTCGGTCCCTAGTCTGTAGCTGTGCATTGGGTTCTTCCATCCTAAGGGCAGGACCCTGCACTTATCCTTATTGAACCTCATCAGATTTCTTTTGGCCCAATCCTCCAATTTGTCTAGGTCCCTCTGTATCCTATCCCTGCCGTCCAGCGTATCTACCACTCCTCCCAGTTTAGTATCATGCACAAATTTGCTGAGAGTGCAATCCACGCCATCCTCCAGATCATTTATGAAGATATTGAACAAAACCGGCCCCAGGACCGACCCCTGGGGCACTCCACTTGACACCGGCTGCGAACTAGACATGGAGAGATTGATCACTACCCCTTCAGTGAACACAGATCGTTGTTCCCCGTGAAAGAAAGCGTAGAATCAAATAAAGTAAAAATCTTAAATGAACCAAACTGTACCACAGAATCTTTATGGATAGTAATTCCATGCTCTAAGAATAAGGATATAGCAGTAGGGATATATCACCAACCATCTGACCACGATGGTGTTAGTGACTGTGAAATGCTCAGTGAGATTAGAGAAGCTATTAAAATAAAAAACTCAGTTGAAATTCCCCATTATTATTATCTCCATATTGACTTGGTACTTATCGCCTCAGGACGGGATGCAGAGATAAAGCTTCTTGGCACCTTAAATGACTGATTCTTAGAGCAGCTGGTCCTGGAACTCACAAGAGGAGAAGCTGTTCTTGATTTAGTCCTAAATTGAGCACAGGATCTGGTCCAAGAGCTGAAGATAGCTGGACCACTTGGTAATAGTGACCATAATATAATTAAATTTAACATCCCTGTGGCAGGGAAAACACCACAGCAGCCCAACACTATATCATTTAATTTCAGAAAAGGGGAACCACACAAAAATGAGGAAGTTAGTTAAAAATTAAAATGTACGGCGTCAAAAGTGAAATGCCTGCGAGCTGCATGGAAACTTATGGTGTCCTTAAAAAAAGAGGCTCAACTTAAATGTACACCCCAAATTGAAAAACATAGAGAACCAAAAAAGAGCCACTGTGGCTAAACAATAAAGTAAAAGAAGCAGTGAGAGGCAAAAAGGCATCATTTAAAAAGTAGAAGTTAAATCCTAGTGAGGAGAATAGAAAGGAGCACTGGGAAAGAAAGTATAAAAATACAATTAGGAAGGCCAAAAAAGAATTTGAAGAACAGCTGGCCAAAGACTCAAAAAGTAATAGCAAAAATGTTTTTAAGTACATCAGAAGCAGGAAGCCTGCTAAACAACCAGTGGGGTCACTGGACGATCGAGATGCTAAAGGAGCACTTAAGGACGATAAGGCCATTGTGGAAAAACTAAATGAATTCTTTGCATCAGTCTTCAAGGTTAAGGATGTGAGGGAGATTCCCAAACCTGAGCCATTCTTTTTAGATGACAGATCTGAGGAACTGTCCCAGATTGAGGTGTCATTGGAGAAGGTTTTGGAACAAACTGATATACCATCTATTACTATTTAGTTTTCACCCAAGAGTTCTGAAGGAATTCAAATGTGAAATTGCAGAACTACTAACTGTAGTCTGTAACCCATCATTTAAATCGGCTTCTGTACCAAATGACTGGAGCATAGCTAATGTGGTGCCAATTTTTAAAAAGGGCTCCAGAGGTGATCCCAGCAATTACAGACCGATAAGCCTGACTTCAGTACTGGACAAACTGGTTGAAACTATAGTAAAGAACAAAATTGTCAGACACGTAGATGAACATATGTTGGGGAAGAGTCAACAGAGTTTTTTGTAAAGAGAAATTATGCCTCACCAATCTACTAGAATTCTTTGGGGGGGTCAAGAAGCATGTGGACAAGGGGGATCCGGTGGCTACAGTGTACTTTAATTTTCAGAAAGCTTTTGACAAGGCCCCTCACCAAAATCTCTTAAGCAAAGTAAGCTGTCATGGGATAAGGGGGAAGGTCCTCTCATGAATTGGTAACTGGTTAAAAGATAGGAAACAAAGGGTAGGAATAAATGGTCAGTTTTCAGAATGGAGAGAGGTAAATAGTGGTGTTCCCCAGGGATCTGTACTGCGACCAGTCCTATTCAGCATATTCATAAATGATCTGGAAAAAGGGGTAAACATTGGGGTGGCAAAATTTGCAGATGATACAAAACTACTCAAGATAGGTAAATCCCAGGCAGACTGCAAAGAGCAACAAACGGATCTCTCAAAACTGGGTGACTGAGCAACAAAATGGCAGATGAAATTCAGTGTTGATAAATGCAAAGTAATGCACATTGAAAAATGTAATCTCAACTATAATATAAAACGATGGGGTCCTAAATGAGCTGTTACCACTTGTAAGAGAGATCTTGGAGTCACTGTGGAGAGTTCTTTGAAAACATCCCCTCAATGTGCAGGAGCAGTCAAAAAAGCGAACAGAATATTGGGCATCATAAAGGGAGAGATAAGACAGAAAATATCATATTGCCTCTAATCCGTGATACGCTCACATCTTGAATACTGCCTGCAGATGTGGTCACCCCATCTCAAAAAAGATATATTGGAATTGGAAAAGGTACAGAAATGGGCAACAAAAAATGATTAGGGCTATGGAACGGTTGCTGTATGAGGAGAGATTAATAAGACTGGGACTTTTCAGCTTGGAAAAGAGACGACTAAGGAGAGATATGATAGAGGTTTATAAATCATGACTGGTGTAGAGAAAGTAGATAAGGAAGTGTTATTTACTCCTTCTCATAACACGAGAACTAGGGGTCACCAAATGAAATTAATAGGCAGCAGGTTAAAAACAAACAAAAGGAAGTATTTTTTCATACAACACACAGTCAACCTGTGGAACTCCTCACCAGAGGATGTTGTGAAGGCCAAGACTATAACATGATTCATAAAAGAACTAGATAAGTTCATGGAGGATAGGTCCATCAATGGCTATTAACCAGGATGGGCAGGGATGGTGTCCCTAGTCTCTCTTTGCTAGAAGCTGGGAATGGGTGACAGGGGATGGGTCACTTGGTGATTCCCTGTTCTATTCATTCCTTCTGGGGCACCTGGCATTGGCCACTGTCGGAAGACAAGATACTGGGCTAGGTGGATCTCTGGTCTGACCCAGTAGGGCCGCTCTTATGTTCTTACCCTCTATAACAGCCCATAACCAAGCTGAAGAGTTCCTCCTCCGTCTTCTCTTCTCTAGACTAAACAGGCCCAGATTCTTAACCTTTCCTCACAGGTCAGGTTTTCTAAACCTTTGATCAGTTTTGTTGCTCTTCTGTTGACTCTCCAGTTTGTCCCCATCTCCCCTAAACTCTGGCACCTTGAATTGCACCCAGCACTCCAGCTGAGGCCTCACCATTGCCAAGGGCAACAACTACCTCCTGTGTCTTACATACAACGCACCTGTTAATACATCCCAGACTGAGATCTGCCTTTTCGCTCCTGTGACTGCCAGCCAATGAGTCCCTGATTTGTAGCCATGCATTGGATTTTAACTTAAGTGCTTGTCTTGTCTTTACGGCTTGTTGATTTCAGTCCAACTCTCCACTTTCTCGAGGTGGTTTTGTATTGTGAGGATAATGACTAGCTGTCCGTGCTAGATCCCAGTGGAGAATGGGCCCCGGCATGCTGAGGAATGTGCAGTCTAGGTAGAGTCGGAGAGGGAAAGTGAAATATGGAAAGGAGATGGGGCTTGTTCAGTGCCGGAGCTGGGGAGTGAACCCAGGAGTCCAGCCCAGGGCCCCACCACTTGGTGTGCAAGGTGCTGCACAAACACAATAGAGACAGTCCCTGCCCCAAAGAGCTTCCGATCCAGGCACCAATCGAGAAGCACCAGGGGCTCCTGATGACCAGGGTGGGTGGGGCCTCCAAGCTGACAGGAGATGGGTGCGCAGGGCAGTGACTGAAGAGCACGACAGGGTGATCACAGCTTTTCCCTGTCCCTCTTACAGGCCTCCGGGGCTGCCTCTCCCACCATCTGCTGGGCGTCTTGGGGACGGTAAGGAGCCACCTGGCTGGGATGGACTGTGGGGGAAACTGCCATGACCATACAGACGTACACACACACACTACCCCAGTGCACTGGGGTGTTTGGGGGCTTGGCCATGGAAGAGGGAAACTGGGGGTGAGGAGGGAGTTGGGGCAGCTATGTTGGGATGGGTTGGAGTTGTGGAGTTAGGGTAGGGAGGTGAGGGGGACATGGGTAGGGGGCCATAGGATGGGGGTTTGGGGGCTGTGATGGGGTGTGATTGGCAAAATGGGTTGTGGGGAGCCTAGCTGTGTTGGGGGGGGGGGGGCTTGGAGAACCCTGGTTGGCTGGTGAGGTTGGGGGTGGCCATGGAAGCTATGTTGCATGTCGTGGATGGATGGGGAGCTGGGGCGGGGGGGATGGGGATGTGGGGGGTGGAGCCCGGGTGTGGTCAGTGGAGGGATGTGGGGAGCTGTGGTGAGTGGGGTTGGGGATGGGGATGTGGGGAGCTGTGGAGAGGGCCATGGGGGGTATACTCGTGCCAAGGCTCCCTGTGCCCCTAGGTGTCCCTGCCCAGCCCAGTCTCCCGCCTCTGCCCCATCCTGGTGCGCAGCTTCGCTGTTGAGGCCAAGAAAACCTACGTGCGGGACAAGCCCCATGTCAACGTGGGCACTATTGGGCACGTGGACCACGGCAAGACCACACTGACAGCTGCCATCACCAAGAGTGAGTGGGGGGGCCTGGAGCAAGGGGTTGTGCGTCCTGGGGTTTCCTGTGCCCCTGGCCCCATTGGTTGGGTCACGGTAGCCGCCAGAGGACCCTGCTGAGACGAGGTGCTGCCCACAACCACTGCCCAGGCGTGCCGATGCATTGTGCTGGGTGCTGCAGAGACCCAAAGGGAACAACTCCTGTCCCCAAGAGCTCCCCGGCTAAAGGGCTGAGAGTGGAAACAGGAGCCAAGTGGAGAAAGGACTGGCCCAAGGTCATAGAGAAGGTCACTGGCAGAGCTAGGAATTGAACCCAGGAGTCCTGGCTTCCAGCCTGCCTCTCCTCCCCAGCTGGTTACTCACCCCCTTTTTCTGCACCCCCCCCCCGCTCCCTCCCAGTCCTAGCTGAGGCTGGAGGTGCCAGGTTCAAGAAGTACGAGGAGATTGACAACGCGCCGGAGGAGAAGGCTCGTGGTATCACCATCAACGCCTCCCATGTGGAGTACGCCACAGCCAACCGGCACTACGCCCACACCGACTGCCCTGGCCACGCTGACTACGTCAAGGTGAGGGGGATGGGGGCGGACCTGCCCCTTTCAGCCTGTGGGTGAGTCGTTGTGGCTGCCCAGTAGTACCACATTTCCCAGAATTCTGCTGTCTTAAAGGGCCAAGCCCCCCCTTGCCTCCTAGTCCCCGAATGTGCCCCCTCAATCTCTTCCTCTGTCCTCACGTGCCCACCCCCAATTGCCCCACTGTCCCTGCCCACACCCCCCTGTTCCTGCCTCTATCCCTAACCCCACAGCCCTGTGCCTGTCTCTCTGCACCTCCGTACCCCCAAAACTCACCCCCTCTAGCCTGTCCCTCCTTCTGTCCCCAAACATACTCACCTTTGTCCACCTCTGTGCCCCTCCCTTTGTCCACCCCCCTGTCCCCACATTCACCATCCTTCTGTTCCCAAAGACAGATTCTCCCCCGCAATCCCTTTGTCTGTCCTCACACACCCCCTCAGTTCCTTCGTCTGGCCCCCAAGACACCCCCACTCACCCCTGCTTCCTCCTCCTGGCCCCCGAGACAGCCCTCTGTCCCCAAACACACAGCCCACCGTCCACCCAATCCCTCCCTCTGTTCTCACATGCACCCTGCTTTCTCCTCCCGGCCCCAAGATTCTCCCCCCTCTCCCCCGCTTCCTTCTCTCGCCCCTGAGGAACAGTGGGCAGGTGGGGAGCGGCAAAGGGCAGGGGTAGACAGGCGGGGGAGCAGCAAGGGGCCTGGGTGGGGAGCAGCTGTTCTGGGGATTGGGTCTGTGTGTGTCACCCTGACAACTTCACCACCAAGCTCGGTGCATCAATAACACATTCCCGCCCCCCAGTTCTGTTCCCTCCCCATACTGTGCTGGCTCCACGGGCTCCCCTGCCCCCATCCCCTGGTCCCGGCACCTGAGCACCGCCGTCCCTGTCTTCCAGAACATGATCACTGGCACCGCTCCCCTAGACGGCTGCATCCTTGTTGTGGCGGCAACAGATGGGCAGATGCCGCAAACCCGAGAGCACTTGCTGCTGGCCAAACAGGTGAGGGGGGGTGATGGGTTCCCCAGGTGCAACCTGGAACTGGGGTACTACTGAGCCCTCTAGCTTACCAGCCTGGGGTCACTCCCTCACTGTGATGCTGGGACAAGCTGCAAACCCCTCCAGGTCCTGCACGCACACAGCCATCCACAGGCAGGGACACCGCCAGCTGAGTTAAATGAATGCTTCTCCTAGCTACTCATGAACCAACACTAGAGAGACTCCAGCCAATTTCCCCCAGCTCCGCAGCCGAGGATCCCAGACCTGGACTGTCCTGCCCTGGTCAGAAGCCTGGCTGGTGTAAGTTTATTACCCAGTCTGCCCCTTCTACAAAGGAAAGTGCATGTGCACCAACCCTTGCACCCTGAGCAGATTCCCCAAGCACTTCAAGCAAAATGCGCTGTTGTAGGTAAAATACCAAACAGATTTGTTAGCGACAGACAGATGGATTGTAAGTGATTATAAGTAATAGGCATGCAGCTCAAAGTTGGTTACCTAAGAAATAAAACACATTTGCAGTCTGAGTTCTATTAACTAGGCAGGATTTGAATCAGGCCGTATCTCACTCTGGGAGATGGTAGAGTTTCTGAATACGCGGGCTGGGGTTCTCCTTTCCAGCCTGGGATCCCCTTCCCAGTTCCGTGTCTTCCAGCCGGGTTTCCAGGTGTTGAGTTGTGGTGGGTGAGGACCAGTGATGATGTCACTTCCCCCTTTTATAGCTTCTTCCAGCTTGCGGGAAAGAGCCTTTGCTATGATTGAGTCAAGCAGCCTCCATTGTGTACCTGCTCGCTCTGAGACGTCTCCATTGTACACACTCCTGGGACAGGCCCTGGGAGTGTGGATTCCCCTTAATGGGCCATCAGCGTTGTCTGGCCCTTCTGTTGTTGTACCTGAAAGGCTGGTTGTGGTTGTCTCCCAACAACATATTTCACAAACACATACACAGCAGAACTTCATAACTTCCCATCCAATGACAGCACCTACAATCCAACAGGAGATTAATGTTCAACAGCTCAAGACTTTTAACATGATACCTCCCAGTTCCACCTGCAGGGCCGATTAGACAGGCAGAACTGCAGGGTCTCAATGCGTGGATGAGACAATAGTGTAGGGAGGAGGGGTTTAGATTTATTAGGAACTGGGGAAGCTTTTGGGAGAGGGGGAGTCTATACAGGAAGGATGGGCTCCACCTAACCAAAATGGAACCAGATTGCTGGCACTTAACATTAAAAAGGTCATAGAGCAATTTTTAAATTAGGGGCTGGGGGAAAGCCATCAGGTGTGGAGGAGCACATGGTTCGGACAGAGACATCCCTTAGGGGAGGATCTATTAATAGAGATTCTCTATGTCCTAGTGAGGATGAGAGGATGGGAAATGATAAAATACAGGCAGGGTCTGATCAGAAACAATCAAATAAGAGTCCCATTCAATTACATCATGTAATGGCAGACAGCTAAAAAGAGACAAGTTTTTTAAGTGCTTATATACCAATGCTAGAAGTCTAAATAATAAAATGGGTGAACTAGAGTGCCTTGTGTTAAATGAGGATATTGATATAATAGGCATCACAGAAACTTGGTGGAATGAGGATAATCAATGGGACTCAGTAATACCAGGGTACAAAATGTATCAGAAGGACAGAACAGGTCATGCTGGTGGGGGAATGGCACGATATGTGAAAGAAAGCATAGAATCAAATGAAGTAAAAATTGTAAATGAATTAAATTGTACCATAGAATCTCTATGGATAGTAATTCCATGCTCTAATAACAAGAATATAGCGGTAGGGAGATACTACCGACCCCCTGACCAGGATGCTGATAGCAACTGGGAAATGATCAGGGAGATTAGAGAGGCTATTAAAATTAAAAACTCAATAATAATAATGGGGGATTTCAACTATTCCCATATTGACTGGGTACATATCACCTCAGAATGGGATGCAGGAATAAAAGTTTCTTGACACCTTAAATGACGGCTTCTTGGAGCAGCTGGTCCTGGAACTCACCAGAGGAGAGGCAATTCTTGATTTAGACCTAAGTGGAGCACAGGATCTGGTCCAAGAGGTGACTATAGCTGGACCGCTTGGTAATAGTGACCATAATAAATTTAACATCCCTGTGGCAGGAAAAACACCACAGCAGCCCAACACTGTAGCATTTAATTTCAGAAAGGGGGACAACACAAAAATGAGGAAGTTAGTTGAACAGAAATTAAAAGGTACAGCGCAAAAAGTGAAACCCCTGCAAGCTGTGTGGAAACTTTTTAAAGACACCATAATAGAGGCTCAGCTTAAATGTAGCCCCCAAATTAAAAAACATTGTAAGCGAACCAAAAAAGAGCCATTGTGGCTAAACAATAAAGTAAAAGAAGCAGTGAGAGGCAAAAAGGCATTGTTTAAAAAGTGGAAGTTAAATCCTAGTGAGGAGAATAGAAAGGAACACTGGGAAAGAAAGTATAAAAATACAATTAGGAAGGCGAAAAAAGAATTTGAAGAGCAGCTAACCAAAGACTCAAAAAGTAATAGCAAAAATGTTCTTAAGTACATCAGAAGCAGGAAGCCTGCTAAACAACCAGTGGGACCACTGGACAATCGAGGTGCTAAAGGAGCACTTAAGGACGATAAGGCCATTGTGGAAAAACTAAATGAATTCTTTGCATCAGTCTTCAAGGTTGAGGATGTGAGGGAGAATCCCAAACCTGAGCCATTCTTTTTAGATGACAGATCTGAGGAACTGTCCCAGATTGAGGTATCATTAGAGGAGGTTTTGGAACAAATGGATAAATTAAACAGCAGTAAGTCACCAGGACCAGATGGTATCATCCAAGAGTTCTGAAGGAACTCAAATGTGAAATTGCAGAACTACTAACTGTAGTCTGTAATCCATCATTTAAATCCGCTTCTGTACCAGATGACTGGAGGATAGCTAATGTGACTCCAATTTTTAAAAAGGCTCCAGAGGTGATCCCGGCAATTACAGGCCGGTAAGCCTGACTTTAGTACTGGGCAAACTGGTTGAAACTATACTAAAGAACAATATTGTCAAACATATAGATGAACATAATTTGTGGTAGGAAGAGTCAACATGGTTTTAGTAAATGGAAATTATGCCTCACCAATCTACTAGAATTCTTTGAGGGGGTCAACAAGCATGTGGACAAGGGGAATCCAGTGGATATAGTGTACTTAGATCTTCAGAAAGCCTTTGACAAGGTCCCTCTCCAAGGGCTCTTACGCAGGGGTTCTCAAACTGCGGGTCGGGACCCCTCGGGTTCATGAGGTTATTACATGGGGGGTCTTGAGCTGTCAACCTCCACCCCAAACCCTGCTTTGCCTCCAGCATTTATAATGGTGTTAAATATATAAACAAGTGTTTTCAATTTATAAGGGGGGGGTCACACTCAGAGGCTTGCTATGTGAAAGGGGTCACCAGTGCAAAAGTTTGAGAGTCACTGCTCTTAACGCAAAAGTAAGTTGTCATGGGATAAAAGGGAAGGTCCTCTCATGGATTGGTAACTGGTTGGTTAAAAGATAGGAAACAAAGGGTAGGAATAAATGGTCAGTTTTCAGAATGGAGAGAGGTAAATAGTGAGGTCCCCCAGGGGTCTGTACTGGGCCCAGTCCTATTCAACATATTCATAAACGATCTGGAAAAAGGGGTAAACAATTAGGTGGCAAAATTTGCAGATGATACAAAATTACTAAAGATAGTTAAGACTTTGGGAGACTGCAAAGAGCTACAAAAGGATCTTTCAAAACTGGGTGACTGGGTAACAAAATGGCAGATGAAATTTAATGTTGATAAATGCAAAGTAATGCACATTGAAAAACATAATCCTAACCACTCAAGAAAGATCTTGGAGTCATTGTGGAGAGTTCTCTGAAAACATCCACTCAATGTGCAGCAGCAGTCAAAAAAGCCAACAGAATGTTGGGTATCATTAAGAAAGGAAGAGATAAGACAGAAAATATCATGTTGCCTCTATATAAATCCCTGGTTCGCCCACGTCTTGAATACTGTGTGCAGATGTGGTTGCCCCATCTCAAAAAAGATATATTGGAATGGAAGAGGTTCACAAAAGGCAACAGCAATGATTAGGGCTGTGGAACGGTTGCTGTATGAGGAGAGATTAATAAGACTGGGACTTTTCAGCTTGGAAAAGAGATGACTAAGGGGAGATATGATTGAGGTCTATAAAATCATGACTGGTGTAGAGAAAGTAGATAAGGAAGTGGTGTTTACTACTTCTCATAACACAAGAACTAGGGGGTCACCCAATGAAATTAATAGGCAGCAGGTTTAAAACAAACAAAAGGAAGTATTTCTTCACAGAACGCACAGTTAACCTGTGAAACTCCTTGCTAGAGGATGTTGTGAAGGCCAAGACCATAACTGGGTTCAAAAAAGAACTAGATAAATTCATGGAGGATAGGTCCATCAATGACTATTAGCCAGGATGGGCAGGAATGGTGTTCCTAGCCTCTGTTTGCCAGAAGCTGGGAATGAGCGACTGGGGATGAATCACTTGATGATTCCCTGTTCTGTTCATTTCCTCTGGAGCACCTGGCATTGGACCACTGTCATTAGACAGGATACTGGGCTAGACAGACCTTTGGTCTGACCCAATAGGGCCATTCTTATGTTCTTCTGTACCTCACAAGGCAGACTTTGTACCAATCAAGTCATAATCCTATCCTCGTGGTGAATATGGGGCTGACAGGGTGCTGTTGTGGGGTACAGAGTGTCACGGGTTTGCCAGAAGTCCTGGGTGTGGGCTGTGAGCCAGGGGATCCCCTCCCCAAGGACTGGGCTGGGGTTGGCTGGGTTGTCCCTCACCCTGTGGCCCCCTCAGATCGGGGTGCGGCACATTGTGGTGTACATCAACAAGGCGGATGCGGTGGAGGACCAGGAGATGCTGGAGCTGGTGGAGCTGGAGATCCGGGAGCTGCTCTCCGAGTTTGGCTACGAGGGGGAGAAGACGCCCGTCATTGTGGGCTCTGCCCTCTGCGCCCTGGAGGTGAGTGCCCCCTTCTCTTCCCCACCCTCTCAGCAGTGCCTCACCTGCCCGCTGCCCATGATAATGCCCTCCCTTCCCCCAGCACCGCAGCCCCGAGCTGGGACTGAACTCCATTCTGAAGCTGCTGGACGCAGTCGACATGCACATCCCGCTGCCCATGAGGGAGCTGGACAAGCCGTTCTTGCTGCCCATCGAGTCAATCTACTCCATCCCAGGTAATGCCCGCTGTCCCCCCCGCCCTGTGCCTTTCCAGGGACCCCCCCACTCCCCAGGGTGCTGTGGCACTGACCCCTCTGCCTTGCAGGGCGTGGGACCGTGGTGACAGGGACACTGGAGCGTGGCATCATCAGGAAGGGGGAGGAGTGCGAATTTGTGGGGCACAACCGGAACCTGCGCTCTGTGGTGACAGGTAGGGGGTGCAGCTAACAGAACCCCTCACCTCTCTCCTCCCAGTGCTGGGAGAACCCCACTGCCCAGGCTGGGGAACCCAGGCTCACCCCATCACTTCCCCACAGGCATTGAGATGTTCCACCAGAACCTGGAGCGGGCCGAGGCTGGGGACAACCTTGGTGCGCTGGTGCGGGGGCTGAAGCGGGAGGACATGCGGCGTGGCATGGTGATGTGCAAACCGGGCTCCATCAAGCCCCATCAGAAGATCGAGGCCCAGGTGGGGCCTGTGCTGGGGCAGTTGCAGCAGTGGGCTGGCTGGGGCGGGAGAAGGAGGGCTGCTGGGTGGTAACAGTTTCTCCCTCTGTCCCCCCAGGTGTACATCCTCAGCAAGGAGGAGGGTGGGCGGCACAAGCCTTTTGTCTCTAACTACATGCCTGTCATGTTCTCCCTTACCTGGGACATGGCCTGTCGGACCATCTTGCCCCCTGGAAAGGTACAGAGCCCCCCTATCCTGCCCCCAGCCACAGCCCTCCTTTTCCCCAAACTTCCTCCCCATCCCTGTCAGTGGTGGCCAGTAGCCAGCCTATGCCGCTCTGACCTGCCCCCACTCTTCCCCCATGGCAGGAGATGGTGATGCCCGGCGAGGACACAGCCCTGACCCTCACCCTGCGGCAGCCCATGGTGCTGGAGGAAGGTCAGCGCTTCACGCTGCGTGATGGCAACCGCACTATTGGCACTGGCGTGGTCACCAAGACGCTGGAAATGGGGCCAGATGATGACAAGTGGGGAGCTTAAAGGCTGGGCTGACCCAGCTCTGCCCCCAGGGCTGTGTCTGCAAACAGTGGGGGAGGGGCTAGTTCTGTCTGGTGTCCTGCTCTGTGTGGGGATGCCCCAAGAACCTGTTTATCACGGCAGCATTGCAGTCACCCAGAGCTGGGTGCAAGCTGCTGCTGTGGGGCAACAGAAATCAAACTGCTCCCCTGCCCAGAGCCCCTCCAGCAGGGGGCTAGCAGGGCTTAGGCAGCTTCCTGCTGTTTGGTTTCTTTTGTTAATAAAGGTGCGAATCACAGCTGGGTTCTTCCTGCTTCTTGGGGGGGTGCGGTGTGCTGGAGGGGACTTCTGGCATGGGAGAGCTGGTGCTAGAGGCTCACATCCCCCCAATGGGTTGGGCTCTGATAGTGATACTAGCCCTGCAGGGACCAGGCAACACTGATTCCTTAGAGGGTCCTGCTCTTGTCCAGGGCCCAGTGGACTAGCAGAGGGGCAGCACCCAGCTTTGGGTGCTTGCCAAGCAAAGCAGTGGGAGAAGGGGGTGGATTAGCTCCCAGGGAGTGGATTAGCTCCCAGGGAGCACAGCTGGGGGCTGATGAAGCTGAAGGAGAATGGTGGAACAAGGGCAAATAGGGACAAACTACCCTGGCTGAAGTCAGGGCAGAGATGGGATGGGAGGGAAAAGCCTCCCCCCAGCATGGATAGCAGGGCCCTAGTTGGTGCAGAGCCCCAGGCTCCTTCACCCCTTCCAGGAGCAGCTGGAGGCCACTAAGAGGGGGAGTCCTGCCATCAACTCCCTGCTCCAGCTGAGGGGCAGCAGCAGGGTGGAAGCTGCAGATCTCACTTCCCCCTTCACAGGCTTCTTTCTGGCTGCCCCACACTACTTTTAGCCACTCCTTTACAGGGATCATCAGCAGTGAGTGCATAGCCGCCTCACAGCCAGGCTCAGGCTAGGGCCCACCCGCACAGCAGAAATGAAGGGACAGAGAGAAGAGAACAGAAGCCAGGACTCCAACCCCCCCCAGGCTATTCTTCCCCCCCCCCCCCCCCAAGCCCCCAGAGACTCACCCCAACACCCACAATGGAGTTAGTTTAAAATTTTATTTTATTTTTTTTCCCACTTTTTAAATATTTTTATGTAATAAAAAGTCGGTGGTCATCAGTCTGGTCTGCTCCTGTGTTCGCATTACTAGGGGAGGGGAGCCCAACGCTCTGTTTAACAGCCCGATTGGAGTTATAAATAATAGAAAATAAAACCATGGCGGCTCCAGAAGCCAGGGGCAGGTGGCTCTTGCCGCTGTGCGCTCTGCAAACCAACAAAAAAGGTGCTTGGTAAAGCCCCGCCCCCAGCTGTGGCACCGTAAGGGGCAGGCTGGGGGCTCCACCTCAGGGCCCAGCTGCCAGGCCGGGGCACATACAAGGGGGCAGAAGGAGCAAACCGGATCCCGGGCAGGGGCCGGCGCTGGGAGTTCAGTTCACAGTCAGGAATCGAGGCTTCAATTTCCAGGGGGGTGGAATGGGAGCTGCTGGGATGGGTGAGACTGAACTAGAAAGAGAGCAGAGATTGTTAGTGAGCAAAGCAGGACAGGACCCCCAGCAGGGAGACAGGGCAGCAGCCCACCTGCCCGCCCACCTACCCACCCAGGTGGCCTATTCCACCCCACTCCACCCTGAGCCCCCCTCATGGGCCCTGCCCCAGGATTAGGGAGATGGGAAAAACAAGCCCACAACACCTCTCCTTCCTCCTGCAGCCAAACAGGCCCTATCCTCTCCCCTCATACTGCTACATCTATGCCCTTCATCACACCCATCTCCTGGGGCAATGAGCACTGCAGGCCTGTTCCACTTGTTGGACCCTCCATCATCTCTCAGAGCTGCCACAGGCCCGCCCCCCCAGCTCAGGGAAGGAAGGGTAGCCCCTCGACACCCTGCCAGCATGGAGGGTGGGGGGTTACTCTGGTACCAGCCTGGCCCATCACACACACCCACCAGTCCTGAGCCTCTGAGACATCCCCCCACCCCCAGCACTGACCTTGATGGTGTCCTATATAGGTGTATGGAGATGGTGTGGAGGCTGAGAGGGTGGGCACCCCGCTCTGTGGCACGCCGCCTTGGGGGGGCCCCCCATGGGTCTGCGAGGGGTGGAGCAGCATGACCTGGGGGGGATGAGGCGCCCCGGGGTGGGGGGGCGGTGCTGCTGTTATTCCAGTCTGGACATGGGCCTGCGGGAGGGGAGAGCAGGGGGATGAGCGTGGGCGGGTGGGGCCCACGCAGTGCCCGCAGCCCTGCTGCCCTACCACCTACCTGGGTGACATGGGCCATGTTGGTGTAGCTGTGTTGCAGCTGCTGGTGGGCGTGGATGGCGTAGACAGCCGGCTGGGGGAAGCTGCTCTGGGGGGACTGGGCGCTGGGCCCTGGCGTGATGGAGGGTGGCGTGGCCGTCAGCGTGGCTGTGTGGTACAGATTCTGCTGCTGCTGGGCACCGGCCAGGTGGGGCGGCTGCCCAGCCTGGTGCTGCGCCAGGACACAGGAATGTAGTGAGCAGGGTCAGGGGGTCAAACCCTCCCCCCCCACTACCCTCCCCCTCAGCCCTGGGGGAGGTCCCCCCTCACCTGCACGGGGCTGGGGGCAGCATGCTGGGCCTGCTGTTGGTTCCCTGTCGGGGTGGTGGCTGGCTGAGGCTGGTGGGGGTGCAGCTGTGTTGCATGGTGGGGATAAGACTGATGAACTGTAGCTGAAGAGAGACACCCAGTCAGACCCAGAGCAGCAGAACTGGTCCCAGCCCCCGGGGCTCCCCGGCCCCAGCCCACAGACTCACCATAGAGCGTCTGGGGCGTGGGCTGCTCCGAGGGAGGGTACTGGGGCGTGGAGGACGACACAATGGCCTGGGGGTGGCTGCCAGATGTCATCATGCGGGGATTGCTCTGCAGCATGGGGGCGAATACAGGCTGCAAGGGAAGAACCATACCTCACGGCTGTTAGAGGGACCATCCCTGCGTGCTCACCCCTCACCATACCCCTCTGTCCCCAAAGGCTGGAAGGGCCGGCCCCCATGGCTGTTAGACAGACCATCCCCACACACTCACCCCTCTGCCCAGAGATGGCCCCACCGAGGCTGCAATGGGACAGAAGGGCCCTTCTCACCTCACCCCCATGCTCTGCCCATGCTCCTCCCTCCCCTCCCCGAGGCCCTTACCTGAGAAGGGTAGTGCGCCATAGGCTGCATCATGGTGGGTTGCCCCGTGAACTGCTGGGGGTTGTAGGAAATGTAGGAGGAGTAGGGCGTAGCTGCTACCAGGGGGGGCCCTGCTGCCGCTGCCGCCTGCATAATGGGGGGGGCGGATGTTGGCTGATGCTGGTCCGAGCGCTGGGGTGGGAGGGAACCTGTGGGAAAAGGAGCCAGCTGCTCAAAACGGACCCCAGAAGCCCCTAGGCCATATGGCTGCCTCAACCCCATGATGAGGGACCCTCCCCTCCAGCCCCACACGATGGTCCCTGCTGCCACCTCTCCCCAGACATCCCATCATCACTCCAGTGGATCAGCATCTGCTGCCCTGGGAGGGGCCCCAGGCTAGCCCCACCCAGCCCAATCTTGCCCTTTGGCCCAGCCACCAGGGAGGGGAGCTCTGCCCATGCTTTAGCCAGCTCCCCTCCCATCAGCGCAGCTGGTGCCAGACTTGCTATGCCACACTGGGAAACGCCAGGCTCACCTTTGGCCCCTCGGTACTTGCCCTGCTGGCCAGGCACAGAGCTGGAGACAGGGTAGGGGTACATCTGGGGTGCCTGCAACGAGAGAGCAGCAGTAGGGTGATTATTTGAGAACAAGGAGAGCTCCCCCCAGAGGACAGGGACCCCTAGCCCCATTTACCCACCCTCAGCAGCACCCCCTCATACTCTGGATAGGCTCTGCTCCCACACCATCCCCCACACCCTTCCCAGTTGCCCCCGCTCTGGACAGGCCCTGCTCCCCCATCCCTGCAGCCCCCACCCCAACAGACCCTGCTCCCTCATCCCCCCATCCCTGCAGCTCCCCCCCAACCCCGCACCCCTCTGGACAGGCCCTGCTCCCCCCACACCCCTGCAGCTTCCTCCCAGTACAGCGGTGGGGTGGGGCTCACCTGGACAGCAGGGCTCATGTGGATCTGAGGTATGTAGGAAATATACTGGGGGCTGTACATGCCCGTCTGGCCGGCTGTGATCACTGGGATGGAGGGAGTGGAATGGGCGCGAGGGCCCGGTGACGTGGGGGTGCTCGTTGACTTGTTCTGGAAGCAGACAGAGCAGCTGAGCATGGGGCCCAGCCAGATCCCCACCAGTGATGGGGAGGACCAGCAGCCGCTGGAGCCAATGGGGCTCCCACTCCCCCCAGCCCAGACCACTCACCACGGAGAGCAGTGTTTTCGAGGGATTGAACTCCTTGGCGTTGGGATTCAGAGTCGATTTCTTCACTTGCCTGAAACCAGTGCAGGACAAATCAGGGTTAAAAACCCTGGAAAGCTCAGCGTCCCCATCCAACCTGCCCCCACCCACTCCCCAGTGAGAACCCCCCAGGCCCTCCACTGCAGACTCACTCGGACACAGGTCCCTCTTCTTTGTCCTCGGGCTCGCCCTTGCCCGGGGGGCTGGCCACCTGCTGCTCGGCCACCTCACACAGCCCCTTCTCCTCTTTGCCACTCTCTGGCAGCAGCTCCAGGCTGGTCCCACTGGGCTTTGGCACCATGCTCACGGCGGGTGCCTGCTCGGGCCCCTCGCAGATGCCTGGCTCAAGGGCCTTCTCCTTGCCCTCCAGAGGCTCCTTGGGCCTGGCACTGAAGGACTCCAGGCTGGCCTCTGGGGAACTGCTCGGCTGGAGCTGTGGGGGAGGCAGATACTGGTGGTAAGCCCAGCCCAGACACGCCAACTCCCCCCGTCCTCCCTGCGGTCACCAGGCCTTACCTTGAACTGGGCCCCAAACTTGCGCAGCTCCTCCAGCTGGGTCCGCTTCTGCTCATTCTGCAGCCCTGCTGTGGAGAACAGCACAGAGTGAGCTGAGGGGCTGCTGCAGCCTCAGGGTGCCCCCAGGCACAGGGCAACCCCCCACTCCAACCCTGCAGCATCACTGAAGCTCTGCCAACACAGATGGATTATGCTTCCATGGGAGAGACAGATCACAGAAGACACCCCCAACAGGAGGATGCAGGCCCCTGCGTCCCTTCCCCAGGTCCCTTCGCTTGGGAAGTGGAAGCTTGGAACAGTCTCCCTCAGGGGTACACACCAGGTTCAGAGGCTTCACAGGGTGGCTGGGGGCCCGGCCCTGTC